GGAAGAGGAACGAAGTCTTCCAAGGCAGTGGCCAATATGTAGAGGTGGATACCTGGGCAAATTCAGTTTCATTAAAAAGAGGGGGAGGTAAATGAATATTGAGGTAAGAACTGTATTAGTCAGTATTCTCCAGAGAAACAGAACCAACAAGATGTACGTGTGTATATATATGTATACATACATACATAAGGAGATTTATTATAAGAATTTGGCTTATACAATTATGCAAGCTGAGAAGTCCCAAGATTTGCAATCAGCAAGCTGGAGGCCCAGGAGAGCTGATGGTGCACTTTTAGTCTGAGTCCGAAGGCCTGAGGCCCAGGAAGAGCTGAGGTTTCAATTTGAGTCAGAAGGTGGGAAAAGATGTCCTAGCTCAAGAAGTCAGGCAGGAGGAGTTTCCTCTTGCTCTGCCTTTTTGTTCCATTCAGATCTTCAATTGACTGAATGAGGCTTGCCCACATCAGAGACGGCAATCTCCAAACATTAATCTTATCTACAAACTCCCTCACAGTCACCCCCAGAATAACCTTTGAGCAAATGTCTGAGCACCCCGTGGTCCAAGCAAGTTGACGGATAAAATTAACCATCGCAGCAACAAGGAGTATCTGTTGCATGGGGCACGTGACACAACATTAATCAGGATTTCTCTGTACAATAAGAGGGTCAAGAGTGCCTCGGCCTGAATCTAGCCTCTCTTACTTTCCAGTTGCATGTCTTGGTTAAGCTGTTTAACTTCTCTAAGCCTCCACTATAAAATGCAGAAAATGGGCCAGGCGCGATAATGCATGCCTGTAATCCCAGCACTTTGGGAGGCCGAGGTGGACAGATCACCAGAGGTCAGGAGTTCGAGACCAGCCTGGCCAACATGGTGAAACCCTGTCTCTATTAAAAATACAAAAATTAGTCAGTCGTGGTTGGGTGGGTGCCTGTAATCCCAGCTACTCGGGAGGCTGAGGTGGAGAATCGCTTGAACCCAGGAGGCGGAGGTTGCAGTGAGCTGAGATTGTGCCACTGCATTCCAGCCTGGGCAACAGAGCGAGATTCTGTCTCAAAAAACAAACAAAACACAAAATGCAGATAATGGGAGGAACCTACTTCATGAATTGAGGGTGAATTTAGTGAGTAAAGTTCACCGCACAGTGTCAGACACATTAAGTGCTCAACACATTGTAGCTATTATTATCATGATCATTTTATTATGAACTGTGACGTTATGCATTGTGCCAGCTATCAATGTGTTTATTGCTTCTCGGCTCCAAATTCATTCTTAGATGTTTGCTCCTCAATAGCCTGGACATTTTTTTTTTTAGACGAAGTCTTGCTCTTGTCACCCAGGCTGGAGTGCAATGGTGTGATCTTAGCTCACTGCAACCTCCCCTTCCTGAGTTCAAGCGATTCTCCTGCCTCAGTCTCCTGAGTAGGTGGGACTACAGGTGCCTGCCACCACGCCCAGCCAATTTTTGTATTTTTAGTAGAGATGGGGTTTCATCATGTTGGCCAGGCTGGTCTCGAACTCCTGACTTCAGGCGATCCAACCACCTCGGCCTCCCAAAGCGCTGGGATTTTATCATTTCTCATTTACGCTGATCACAGAGTTGAGCTTTCCCAGTTGAGAGCGCTGAAGAAACAGTGCAGGAGAAAGAGGCTTCTCTTACTGGTTCCAGCTGCTGCACCACTGGTCAGCGCTAAGGGTGTGAGGTGTCATGGGCCACGTAATGGGATTCTCAGACGCTGGGGGAGGCTTTGGAACCCAGGTAAGTTTTCCCATTCTGGCCGCAGGGAGAGTGCAATTCTTCCCAAGCTGATCTTAGGTGATGGTGCCCCTAGTGGTGACTGTTCCAACTGCCGCAGGGAGCAATCCCTGGTCCCGTGGAATTTAGGGCTCCATTGTCACCTGCTCGGGGGGCCTCCCTCAACCACTCTGTTTCATAATAAAATCCCCACCTGTCTGGGCCTTCCCTGTCTCCCCTGCCTACTTTGTTTTCCTCCAGAACTTTCCAACATACTCTATTTATTATTTGCTTATTTTATTGCCTGCCTCCTAAGCTCCACGACGGCAAAGCTTTTTGCCTGTCTTGTTCACTTAGAAGTGTCTAGCACAGTTACCTGGCCCACAGTAGGTGTTCAATAAATATCTGTTGACCTGAGTTGCATGCAGGTCAACCATGCCTTCCTGCCTGTTGCGATTGCACCTGCCTGTTGCGATTGCACCGAACACCATGGAGTCCTTTATCTTGGAGGAAAAGCTCCAGGTTTTTAAGGACCAGCACAGGTCAACTTCCCAGGCTTCGTGCTTAGCAGAAAAAGGAAAAATGTGGGTTTTGAAAAATGATTCCCTAGAGTGAGGCTTAGGCACCCTACCACCTTCCTAAAGTACCCCAGTTAACTGAGGGGTGAAGCCAAGGAGAAGAACAAATGGATCAATCACTTTGGCCCTGAGGTCAGAATCCTGGCTGCCACCCACTTCTTAAACGAACTGGGATGAAACCTCCTCCGGGCTTGGCTTTGTCAATGACATAAGGATCATAGGGTTAGGGTGGGGTGGAAAGAGGGTCAATAAGATCATGTGAGCAAAACCCAAAGCCGTTAGTGTAGTGCCTGGCACATAGTAGGTGCGCAATATATGATCATTTTTGCTGCCAAGCAGCCATTTCCCATTCTCCTGGGGGACTTGCTGGAGATTGTGGAGCAGGGGTTTGTGATTGAGACACCTCTCCCTGCGCCAAGGGGCAGGCTCGTGTCCCAGGTCAGAACAATCAGGCGCTCCCTCCATAGGATGAAAACCTTAAACGAATGGCATTCTCTTTACCAGAGCAGCAGTGCCCTAACCGGGCCCACATCGTCCTTGCTGGGCAAATCTTCCCAAAAGATCCCCTTTCTGGCCTTCCAGAGCTGCCTTGATTTCATCCCATTTCCCAGTTCTCCAGGCTCCCATGGGCTCTGGGATTACACATTATCTTTCCAGTTTATTTCCTTTTGCCTAAGGAAGCCAAAGTCAGCTTCTGCGGCTTGCAATCAGAGACCCCTGACACTGACCAATGGGAAAAAGGGGGCTCTGGATCCACTACTGCAGGGAGAGGCACTCTAAGTTGTCCCCTAGTCCTTCTGAAGGAAGGCCTGAATACTGGGGCACCCTAAAAGGCATTGCAAATCCTTAACGTCACCATCAAAGTCATACAGGATCTTGGCCCTGCACCTCTTGGGCCAACATCCCACCACTGTCCCCGTTGTTCACACCACTCCAGCCCCACAGGCATCTCTGCCATTTGTCACTGTTTAACTGGACACACTCCCTCCTCAGGGCCTTTGTATTTGCATTCCCTTGACTCAACTGCTCTTCCTCCAGAAATCCTCATGGCCTGCTCCTTTTCCTCTTTGCTCAAATGTCAGCTGCTCAGTGGGGCTTCCCTCAACTACCCTACTTCAGAATATGATCCCCAGGGGTCTGGGCCCTCCCTATCCCCTTTGCCTACTTAATTTTTCTCCAGAACTTTCCAGAATGTTCTGTCCTTTGCTTATGCATTTTGCTGTCTGTCTCTTAAACTCCATGAGGGTAGAGCTCTTTGTCTGTCTTGCTCACTTAGAAATCTCTACCACAGTCACTTGGCACAGAGTAGGTGCTCAATAAATATTGACCTGACTTGCATTCTGGGTGCATACAGTTAGGGACTTGGGGTGACCAGCGGCTCTCGATGGAACAAGCCTTTTCTCACAGAGCCCACTGCCTGCTCAGCCTCGGAGATCCTGGCTGACAAGTGCCTCCTGTTGGGGCCAGACTCCTGAGAAAACCCCACTCTTCCAGCGAACTGCATGTCCAGGAGGGAGCCACTTAAGTCCCGGCCTCTCCTGGATGGAGAACCAGTGTATCTTGGAAGATTCTTTTTTTTTTTTTTTTTTGGAGATGGAGTTTCACTCTTGTTGCCCAGGCTGGAGTGCCATGGCACAATTTTGGCTCACTGCCACCTCCGTCCCCAGGGTTCAAGCAATTCTCGTGCCTCAGCCTCCTGAGTAGCTGGGATTACAGGAGCATGCCACCATGCCTGGCTAATTTTTGTATTTGTATTTTTTATTTTTTGAGACGGAGTCTCACTCTGTCGCTCAGGCTGGAGTGCAATGGCGTCATGTTGGATCACTGTAACCTCTGCTTCCCAGGTTCAAGTGATTCTCCTGCCTTAGCCTTCCGAGTAGCTGGGTTTACAGGCACCCCACCATCATGTCCGGCTAATTTTTGTATTTTTGTAGAAACGGCGTTTCACCATGTTGGCCAGGTTGGTCTCCAACTCCTGACCTCAGGTGATCCGCCCACCTCGGCCTCCCAAAGTACTGGGATTACAGGGATGAGCCACATGCCCAGCCTAATTTTTGTATTTTTGGTAGAGATGGGGTTTCACTATGTTGGCCAGGCTGGTCTCGAACTCCTGACCTCAAGTGATACGCCCGCCTCGGCCTCCCAAAGTGTTGAGATTACAGGTGTGAGCCACCGCCCCCGGCTGGAAGACTCTCAATAATAATAAATAATAGTAATAACAGTAACAGTGGCAAGCATTTATGCTTGCTGGCCTTTCCCCCTGGGTCTGTATTAAGGGCTTCACATCCAATATTTCACTTAAGTCTCAGATCGTTCTGAGACCCATGATACCCATTTTATACCACATTATACCCATTTTAAAGATGAGAAAACAGGCTTGGAGAATGTCCGTAGTAGTCCCATCATTTCCTGCGACTTCCTGGAGCCTGGCCCACAGAGGAGGGCTCAGGAAGGACGCTTTCCTTCCTCGCCCTAGGGAACAGGGTGGGACCTGAGCGCTGGCGTGGAGGGTGGGGGAGCCTGAAAGGCCCGGGCGCTGGGTGCGCGGGAGCGAGCGTGCGTGCTTGGCGCTAAGGCTCCTGGCGCAGGCAACCGGACCGCCCAACCGCGCGGTGGCTTGCCTGAGGGGTGGGGCGGCCGCCTCGGGTCCTGACGTCGGGCGCCCTCCGGCCGTCACTCAGCGCTTGGCCCCGCCCCGCCGCGAATGCAGCAGCAGCGCCGAGGCCGGAGGAGCCACCGCCGCCACCACCGCCGCCACCGCCACCGCCTCCCGGGACTCGGAACCCAGCGCTCGGAGCCATGGCCTCGGCCCCCGCGGGTAAGGGGCTGCGGGACACGGGGGCGGCGGGAGGGCAGCGCCCGGCCCCCGCACCCACCCTTGGCTAACCAGCGGCTCTCGCGTCTTGTCCCACAGAGGCGGAGACCCGACAGAGGCTTCTACGCACCGTCAAGAAGGAGGTGGGTGCCGCGGTGGGGGCGCTGGGCAGGATTCCCCCGGGCAGGGGGCAGCACAGCCAAATGGGAAAAGAGCCTCCGTGGAAGGGTGGCCTCTGGCGGTGGGGGGGCGGCCAGACCAGGTGTGGGACTCACCTGGGTAGGCATTGACCTCCTGCAGGGCAGGAGGCGCAGCGAGGGAGTTTGGGGGTCGGTATAGGCGTGGGGAGGCTTTGGCCCATTTGAGGCTTTGTGCGGGGGCGGATGCAGCGTGAGGCCCCTCCAGGTGTGGGACCCACCTGGCTATGTCCCAGTAGAACCTCCTGTTGTGGAGGAGCAAGCAGGTGGGTGCGGTTCAGGAAGGGGATCTTCCAAGAGAGACTAGCTGCTGGGGGGACCCCCCACAGGGTGTGCTGGAGGAGGGGCCCTGATAGGGCTGCCGAAGGTGGGGCACCCTTCGGGAAAAGGGAGAGGGAAAATAAAGCCTCCCTCCCCAGCCCCCAAATTCTCAGTCCTTGGAGCCACCTCCAGGAGCCAGGGGACTCCCTCCCGGAGAGTCCCGGGTCAGTGAGCTGCTCACCTGGCAGTAGGGGTCCCTTCACCCCCCACCTCACACACTCAGAGGTGAGAATCAGAAAGGTTCTGCCATTTCTCTGCCCCTCCACTCTCCCTGGGGTCAGCGCGGGGGCCCAGTCTAATCTTTAGGGTTCATGACCAAAGACCTCCCAGAACCCCATAGACAGGGAGAATTTGTAGTCCTTGGGGCCTGGGGTAGCATTTCCATGCCTGGACTGTGTGCTCTGGTGTGTACGCCTGCGTGGGTGAGGACCTGTGGCTGTGAGTATGTGCATATGAGAATGTCTGTGTGTCTGGAGATACCTAAGTGTATCTCTTTGCATTGTGTGTACACATATCTATGTGTTTCTGTGTATCTGTTTTTGTGAGAGTGGGTCTATGTGTGTGTATTGTGTGGTGCATGAGTCTGTGTGAATGAGTGATGCTGTGACTGTGCGTGTGTATCTTGAGTGGGTGTGTGGCATGTGATGCATGAGTCTGTGTGAATAACTAGGGCTGTGACGCCGTGTGTGTGCGTGTGTCTGTGTGTTGCCCTCCCCATTCTTCAGCCTCAGACCCCGTTGCTGCTGTGTTTTTGTCACTTTTTAACCTTATGAGCACTTAGCCCAAGGCCTCGCATGGCAGCAGACCTTGTGGGCTGGCCTGGTTTGTGGGCCTGGCTTTCAGTGCGTGTGTGTGTGTGTGTGTGCGCGCGTGTGCATGTGTATGTGTGTTGTGGGTGTCGGCTGAGGTGGCAGCATCAAGCATCACTGATGACCCGTCCTTCCCTGCACAGTGGCAGACAGCCACCAAGGGCAGCCTGGAGGCTTGGACCTGTTGCTGCCCCTCCCTCCTCGGGGAGCATGAGTATGTGTCTGTGTGTATATGTGTCTGTGTGTGGCATGTCCTATTTTGTTTAAAGAATGAGCTCCAGGGCTGCTTGGCACATTCTAGCAGTTTCGAATGAGACATGCAAAATACATTAGATCCCTCAGAAAGGTCCAGAAGTGTTCAGCTCAGCCTTTGTATAGGCTCCTGTGGGTACTCCAAGGGAGGTCTGTCTAGAACCTCTCTTTTTTTTTTTTCCTGAGATGGCATCTCGCTCTGGGGCCCAGGATGGAGTGCAGTGGCACAGTCTCCGCTCACTGCAAACTCTGCCTCCCAAGTAGCTGGGGCTACAGGTGCCCACCACCACACCCGGCTAATTTTACTATTTTTTTTTTTTTTTTAGTGGAGACTGAGTTTCACTGTGTTAGCCAGGATGGTCTCAATCTCCTGACCTCATGATCCGCCCACCTTGGCCTCCCAAAGTGCTGGGATTACAGGCGTGAGCCACTGTGTCTGGCTTAGAACCTCTTTTCAAGAGAACTCAGAACATTCTTGTGACTATTTCAGGGGAGGGGCATGTACCTTACAAAGCACCTGCTGTCTTTTTGTTCATGGTTTAACCAGACCTACATGTAATATGTAGATGTTTTTGCATGAGGCAGCTTTGTTTTTAAGGCAATATTTGGTTGAATTGGGGAGGGGGCTGCAGGCAGAAGAGAACACCAGTAAGACATCTGGGGAAGGCTGTGGCTGAGGCCCAGGTCCAAGCTCAGCTACCATCTTCCCCAGTTTCCTGCATAGGTCCCTTCTCCTCTCTAGGACTCAGTTTCTCCATCTGCAGAAGGAGGCATTGGTACCAGTGTCCTTCAAGGTCCAATCTGTGTCAGTCTAGTTTGGGTCTTGGGCTCAGAGAGGGGGAATAACTTGCCCAAGAGCGCCCAGCCAAGATGGGACTGAGTTGGGACTTACCCCCCAGGTCTTTTTGGTGTCAGAGCCACACTTTGGCCCTCCCATCCCACAAACATGCTCATCTAAATCTACACAGTACCACGCCTTGGACAGAATGTGTGGGTAGTACAGTTTCTACTGTACAGATGAGAACACTGTGGCCCAGAGACAATAAATGGCATTTCAAGGACACAGAACCAATGTGGGGGAACAGGTTCCGGTCTTCTGTCCTTGAGTTCCTATTTAGCATAGGTACCCTAAGAACATGGCAACAACTCGGTTCCCCCCAAAGCATGTCTCTCCTGTCCTTTCCTTCCTTTGCTTACCTCTTTGAGGGGGCATCTCTCTCAGTGTCAGAGAACCAGTCTCCAGTGGAATAGAAGGGAAAGCTCTTTGCCTAGAAATCTGAGAGTCAAATCAGGTCCTCCTCCCCACTCTCTGGGTTCAGAGGAGCCACATCTCTGCCTGTCACAGCCTCACCCAGAGACTGCATTGTGTGTACACATATCTACATGTGTCTTGTGTGTATATCTGTCTTCTGTGTGTATATCTGTTTTTCCAGCCTTCTTTCTAGAAGGGGTGCCTTAATAATTGACATCTCTGGGCAGCTCTGCAAGGTTTGCCAGAGCCACTACAGCCACCAAGGGGCCGGCAGAGGCTGGGAGCTGGAAACTGTCCAGTGCTGGCCTGGGGAACCAGTAGGACCCAGCACCCATTAGGCAGGTCAAGAAGGAACTTCGGGCTCAACGAGAGCTGGAGTCCAATCCCAGATGTGTTTATTTACTAAGGGCTGTGTGTCAGACCCTGGGCTAGGTTCTGTGGATATAGCAGGGACAGGCCCCTTGTAGACAGGCCCTGTCCCTGTCCTCCTGGGGCTGACCTTGCTTGCAATGGAGGAAACACACTCCCAACAGATACTTTATCACAATTACAAGGATAATTACAGGCTGTGCACAGAGATGTGAAGGAGAGGCACCCGGGGCTGCAGGAATCCAAAACGGACAACTGACCATGTGCAGGGGCCCAGGAAGTGATGTTTCAGAAGACAGGTGCAAGATGAGTAGGACTTTCAGGTGAAGATAGGGGGAGGTTGAGAGACACTAAGAAAAACCATTCCTGGCAGAGGGTTTTGTACATGCAGAAGCTTTGTGGCTGCAGGGAAGACTGAATTTGAAGAAACCGAAGTGACCAGAGCAGAGAGAAAGGAGAAGGGTGCAGATGCAGAGAAGGCAGAACGTATGGTCTTATCCCAAAAGCAAGGGGAAAGGAATGGGGAGGACATGGAGAACAGGGAAAGAAGGTGATGGAACTGAAATTGATGGCCTGCTCACTGCACGATCTTGGACAAGATCTGTCTTTACCTTTATCAGTGTGTGGGTTTCCGTTTATTCATAATGGGGATGAAAATGATTCAGCTGGCAGGATAAACCCTGCGAGAACACCCATCACGTTAGCCTGAGCTCCTCCAGGGTAAGCATCCTTTTTTTTTTCCTCTGTCCTCAGTGCCACCAAGAGAAAGCTGGAAACAAGGTGGCCTCGGCTGCAAACAGCGTGGCCTCAGCATGATTTCCTCCAGTTAAATCTCACCAGCTCTAGCTTGGCTCCTTCCTGACTTCCTTTACCCTCCCTGCCAACCCTTAATTTTGTTTTGGTTCCCGGAGCGAGCAGGGACTGGCTTCCCGTTGCCATGACAACTGCCATTAAAGGAGCCAGCCATGTGATGCCAGTTGATAATGGAAGCAAAGTGACTAACTGCCTTGTTTTGCTGCCTCTGGGCTGGGGCTAGAAAGCCTCTTAATTGGAAGGGAGAATGCAGGGGCTGGTGGCAGGCAGATGAGACCCCAGGAAGGAGACAGGGAGATGAGGCAGGTCCTGGAGGGGAAGCTACATTTAGCTCTGCAGACTGGAGCTGGTGGAAGGGCTGTAATTGTGGAGCCCTCGTCACAGCTGCTGAACAGAGCCTGTTTGGAGAACTGAGCCTTCCAGCCTCTGGGTTAGGGGCGATGAGGTGGGAGAGGAAGGCAGGACTTTCTAAGAAGGTTGGAGGAAAGCGAGAGAAGCAATTGATGTTACCATGGGGACTCCGCAGTTTTACTGGGACCCAGTGGTTCTTAATGAAGGGGAGCAGTTTTCTCTCCCGTCCCTAGATTGGGTTGCCAGATAACAACCAGGTCGCCCAGTTAAATCTGACTTTCAGATAAACAGTGAGTAAGTTCTAAGTATGAGTGTGTATTGCTAAATCTGGCAACCCTACTCCAGGGGACATTTGGCAATGTCTGGAAACATTTTTGGTTGTCACAGTTGGGGGTGCTACCGGCATCTAGTGGGAAGAGGCCAGGGATGCTACTCACATTCCTGCAGTACACAAGACACCCCCTCAGCCCACCACCACTAGCAGCACAAAGAAGTGGCCAGCCCAGAATGACAACGCTGTTAGGGCAAGAAAACTTGCTCCCTGCTGACCCTACCCATCCTGCACCCACCGCGCCCTTCCCTTCTCTAGGCTGTTCTGATACGAATGTCCTATTCTTGAACAACTCATTCTCACTGCTTTTAGATTGTCTTGGATGCATACTTGGAGTCCAAAGCCGGAGCAGGGGTGGGCAGGGGCAGTGAACGAAGTCTTGGCTCCCTAGCCATGTCATTTTGGGAAAACTTCCTCAGAATGCCTCAGTTTCTCACGTGTAAAATGG